TGAGCAAGGATGAATATACATAAATATTTTAGGAGCAGAGCTGCTTTGTCATAAAGGTGAACTGGAATTAAGAATCAAAGCGTAGCTATTATTTGCCCTTCAGTGTGTAACTAACTATACACCTTTAAAGTTTTGGTTATGGATGACTAAAACCTTTCCTTTTAACTGTAGAGCAAAGAAACTATTTTCCTGAAACTTTTTGTCCTAATCAACTTCATAAACTCGCATTTCTCTATCTGTGTATTATTGATCTGGAACATACTACTGTAGTTAGGAATGACTATGAATTTGGTGGAAAGCTGTATTTATTGTGTGAACCACGTTCAGAAGAATGTCAAAAAATACCAATCATCTTTTTTTTAAAAAGTACATTTTGCATTACTTTAGTCCTGCTGGTTTACATGATTGGATGCAGCCATTACCTTCAAGAACCTTTTAATAAATCAACATAATTTCCTTTAGCAGGAGGGGAGATTTTAATGTTTCTACTCTATAATTAAATCCTACAACATGCATAGGGTAATGAAAGTACTTTTTCCCCTGATAAAGCAGCTTGGTTTGTAATCTTCCCTTCTACTGAAGTTCATCTCACCAGGACAGCTTTGACTTTTCTGGTATATGACAATAGTAAAACAGTAAAAAGATAAGCACAGCTGCTAAAGCTGTGTTGGAAATCTTTAAGTTAGATATCTATAGCTTGATGCATACTCCATGGCAGACTAAAAATGACAACAATAACTTTAAAATATCTAGCATAGTTAAGCACTACTATAATTTTCAAAGACACTGCTGTGACTGCCTTTGCTGCCCTCCGGTAAATTTGGAAGCACAAGGAAGACTCACTTTTGTGTGTGGTGACAACTGTCCTTACAGGTTTACCTATAATCATCTTCACTTTCTGCACAGGCTAAAAAAGGTACTAAAACCTGGGGAGGAGGACTGAATTTTGGTAATAAAGGGCCTGGTTTTGTTACTTGGCTCAGTTTCTTGGTTCATCTAGATGAGTATGTAATACTGCTGTGTCATTAGTTAGTCACACTAATTAATTACAAGTGCAGTGCACTAATTAATTACACGTGCAGTGTACAAGTAAATCTTACGTTCATGTTCAGGTAGCTTTTTGAAATTTAAGTTTTGATGTATTTAGTGTAGTGGTAAGTGGTGTCTTTTGAGATAATGACAAAATGCTGTGTCTGTCTCTAGGGTGGTTCAAGAATAGTGAGACAGAAGATGTTCTACTTGACCAAAAGACAAGGAGATTGACACTGTCACAAACCAAACCTTTTAGTTTGACGGCAGTCAAGTTTAACTATCAAAATTTTGTACAGTAGAGAACACAGCAGATTACATGCCAGCTACCTGCAAATCTAGAGCCTCAAGACCCCATCCCTACAGCTGAAGTCCCAAAGCTATTTTGACATAGCAACGCATTTAAGCTTCAGAGGAAAACCAGCAACAACAAAAATATAAACCTGTGAAATTGTAGGTCATGTTCACAGCAACCTACTTTTTTCAGGTGGAAATGAATTCATGTAGGCAGTGAATACAAATAAACTAGGTGCCTCTCTGCTCTTCCAGAATCACCACCTTTTCAGGAGTGGCTAGTTAAGAATACAGAAGCAACGTAGCTGCTGTACCACTTAATTACAAATACAGTGTTCTGAAGTGTTGTACACACATTATTGCCCAGTCACACAAGAAAAATGTTTTGTATGTAAAGTGGAATCTGTAGCAGCTACCAATCTCATCCAGAACACCTGAAGCAGTAAGATATCAAAACCGACAACTACTTTGGGCATTTGTAAACTCCACAGAGTGCCTGGCTGGTGAGAAAGTGGGTTCCCCAGCAGGTCGAATAGCACCTTTCCTTTTGTCCATTCATCGTGTGTAATAAATACCAAGTAGCATTTAAATGTATATGATTAAATTAAGCAACTGCATTGGAGCTGTGAAGAGCTCCCTTCTCCTCTCTGCTCTAGCTTAGGTGCAAGATTTCACCAGCTTTTAGACCTACACCGTTGGAGCAAATAAATGTGCATTTATTTTCAGAAATATTTTCTGTCTGCATTTTGGTATAGTGCATGCTGAATTGCTAACATAAAACACTGGGTTTTGATAAACACTGAATTCCTGTTTAGATTTAATAGGATGTTTTTATTAAAAATAAAAGTAATACATTTTGTATTTTATGCATTTATCTTTCTTTAGTAGCATGCATTTCTACAAGTTACAAATTCCAGTCCTATTTCCTATGCTGCAAAGCTCTCTAAACCAAGACCGCCATAATCCCGGCGTTCCCCTAACGGTGGCGCTGAAGCACAGATAAGTTACTTTTTGCAAAAAAAACTAGTAAGTATAGGTACAGCTGAGTACACTTTACAGAATAAATACCCAACATACTTGTCATCACTAAAAATTGGCAGGTTTAGATCCTTTAGAGTAGCATTTGAATAAAAAAGTTTGATGTTTATGCCTTCAGCATTTAAGAATAAACTTCATATACCAGCAAGGCTAACGTATATATAAGCAAACTTTTCATAACCCTGATTTTTTTTATAGTACATTGGCATTAACAGTCCTCTGCACCTTGCAGAACAGGACATTGATAGTACCACTGCATGTAATGCTTCTTTCGTTACAGAAGCAACTTTCATACCCTAGAAATGTACAACTACAGATAAAGGAACTTTAAAAAAAAAAAATTCTTCAAGCTCATATTCTTCACTGGAAATATCTGACACAGCATAACAAGGATACAGACACATGCTAATGAGCATGAACAAAATGCAGCCTGTTGCTATCTTACTAATAACACTTCATGAGCAATCCTAGAAGTGTACAGAAAGTGGTGACTCGCTCTTACTTTTTTTTTTTTTCTGGTAATTTAGATTATTTAAGGGATCAGCAACACTTCAGTTAGGCAACACAAACATCCAGGTGTCACAGAGAATTCAGTTTTAGAGGTAGCTAAGTGCCTTCTTTCTTGAT